GTGTGTGTGTGTGTGTGTGTGTGTGTGTGTGTGTGTGTGTGTGTGTGTGTGTGTGTGTGTGTGTGTGTGTGTGTGTGTGTGTGTGTGTGTGTGTGTGTGTGTGTGTGTGTGTGTGTGTGTGTGTGTGTGTGTGTGTGTGTGTGTGTGTGTGTGTGTGTGTGTGTTTCGTGGTGACAGAGCGTGCGCGTTATAAAGTTATAACAAGGGGAGAATTACGTACGCCGTACGTGCGTGTGCATACGCGAACTTTTCTTCGAAAGGCTCCTCTATCAGCAATGCATGACTGCAAAAATGTTTACATTAAAGTTAAGCGAAAGCAAAATATCAAATGAGCTAAATATCAGAATAAAATGAACATGCCAGCAAGATCCGTAAGGTTCTAAAGCGCCGGTTTACCATGGAATTGTGTATACTGCTGCCTAAACACACACGGAATTAGGCGTGAATAAATACACTGCGTTTTTAATCACTTCTGATATATAAGCTGCGTTCACACGTATACACGGCTTAGCTGGTACCGTACTTAGTTGGTGCTAAGTCCGGTTATAATGCGTTCACACGAGATACACGAGATTCGAGGCTTAGCTAGCTCGGTATAATATAGACTGGTACCCGGTCGACAGTTCCACACGCTACCCTAACGTCGTGCAGCGAACGCGTAGCCGTCTAGGTTAGAGCGCTACAGTTTCGCAATTCACACAATGCGCGAACAACACGAACAATGCGTTCACACGACAATCAATACGCGGCCAGCGTGGTGCCGAATATACGCGGCTTAGTTGGCGCGGAATATGATTCCGCGCTTAGCAAGCCGGAGCATTCGCGGCTAAGCAAGCCGTGGCTAAGCAAGCCGCGTATATTTTAGCGTGTGAACGCAACTTTTCTCCTCGTGTGAACGCAACTATATATACATACTAGCTGCGGATACCCGCTGCGCTGGGTAAAATCGTGCTACTAATTCATACTACTAATAATTGGACACAATAGGAACATTGGGTAAAAATCGACAATATAACATTGCACACAATATCAATATTTACAAATCAGTGTAATAAGCTAATAAGCATGGGGAAAAACTGTTACGTATGACATTTATATGACAGCAAGGCCATTCATGGTCATTGATAGCCCCACACCAGGTGGTCATCCGTGGTCATTGATAACCCCACACCAGGGGTCATTTATGGTCATCGATAGCCCCACACCAGGTGGTCATCCATGGTCATTGATAACCCCACACCGAGGGTCATCCATGTTCATTAATAACAACGCACCAGGTGGTCATCCATGGTTACTGATAACCACACCAGGGGTCATCCATGGTCATTGATAATCCCACACCAGGGATCATATATTGTTAGCGATGATCTTTTACCAGTCGTAGTCTATCTCAGACTCCTCAAACTGCTGCTTCGCCTCGGCGTACCAGAAGCTGGGCAGCGGTAATGTGTGGTTGACGATGGAGCCATCGGCCTGCTCTAGTCGGTGTGACACCACGCAGCGCACCATCATGTGGCTGCACTTACTGCAAATATAGTCAAACAAAACACAGTCGTTAGACAGCGCTGTGCGAATACTGCAACTAAAGCTTCATTCAACAGCTTTTGCTGGAACTAACGGCTGTACATACATACGGAACCAGAAGTGTGAAATCATTAATCGGGATCGCCTCTGTAAAACAAACATCTCTGCAATATCGTCAGCCTGATGACTAAACGCTTGCCTAATTAAAATCATGAAATTGCCATAGAAAGTCACCAAGAAGTCATCAGTGATGCTCAATGCCACGTATGCGATTGGTATAGTGAGAGTAGTTTACTTATATGCGTTGTGTAGTGTCAGCACAGTTTATTTATGCGTTGGTGCAATGAGAGTAGCGTTTACTTATATGCGTTGGTATAACGAGAGTAGAGTTGACTTATATTCGCTGGTGCGATGAGAGTAGCGTTTACTTATACCGAATATACGCGGCTTAGTTGGCGCGGAATATGATATTCCGCGCTTAGCAAGCCGGAGCATTTCGCGGCTTAAGCAAGCCGTGGCTAAGCAAGCCGCGTATATTTTTAGCGTGTGAACGCAACTTTTCTCCTCGTGTGAACGCAAACTATATATACATAATATATATATATCTATATATATATATATATTTATATATATATATTATATGTAGATAGATAGATAGATAGAATGATAGATAGATAGATTATAAAGATATAGGTAGATAGATAAATAGATAGATAGATAGATAGATAGATAGATAGAATAGATTAGATATAGTACTAGATGATAGATAGATCGATAGATAGATAGATAGATAGATAGATTAGATAGATAGATAGATAGATAGATAGATACTTCCTATATGAGTAATCTCTATTGCAAATGGATCTATGGCCGTAAGTACCAACTGGACTGGCATATATATATTTGCGATGGTGCTGGAGAAACAAGATGACGTTGCTATCGACCATAACCAACACCTCGTGTCGCCGCTCTAATCATTTTACGAGAAAGTAAACGCGCGAAAAGAGCCCATATTTCTTTCTCGCGTTGGGGCGGAATGTGTCTAAAATATTAGATCTAATACCGTTTAAGAAGCGCCAGATGTAGTCCTGTCGAGGGGTTTGCTATATGCAGCACAGCTGCCACACAGCCTGCGCAATTGCAACACGTATAGCGCCACTAGATAGTGTTGTTTATGTATAACGTGCCTTCATCCATGGTAGACCCGCTGATGGTACCGCGTATATAACCACGCAGGCAATTAATAATAGCTAGCGTATTATGTGTACGCAGGGAACTATAATTAACTAGAGCACTCGGAGAGCACAGACCTCCGCCAAGGCAGCTGAATTCTGTCACTGTAAAAAAAATAATTAATTAATTAATTAAATAATTAATTGGATCCGGATGACGACCAAAATGTAATCCAATTTCTGAGTTACCCCGATTTCT